GGAACTGGAACTTGAGAAACCAATGCCTTTGAGAGAAGTTCTGCCGGAAACTTGGAATGCGGTCTTGAGCTTACTAGTCGGCCAGGACTTTGTAGACAAGAAGAAACTCAACGAATCTCGTGACTTCAAGCACAGGTTGGCCATCCAATGCGTGACTACTTCTTCCACGAGAGACAACGCCGCAAACGATGACTGTGATCTCCTCTCCACTTTCGTGTCCATGATGGAGCAAACCACTGGATCTCGGAGGTCTCGAGCTCGTCGAAGAACCTCCCAGGGACAGGCTCACGCTCCCTTTCAAACCACACGACGAGGAATGCAGCACCACCACAGCGATCCACGGCATTGCGTTCGCGAGCAAAGGAGTCGCCGGAGTTGGCCGATGGCTACAGTCGAGTTCCAGCGCTGTTCATCGATGGAAGGTACCCCAGGATCTCGAAACTATATAAGTTTCGATCCATCACAGTCAGGGAATTAATCCATCGCCGTCCTCGTTTGTTCTCTTCCTCAGGTACATTGGTGGCGTGGAGCGGCTAAACGCATTGAAAAACAAGGGCCAGCTTCGCAAGCTCTTGCATGATAAGCAGTGGAGATTTGCGGAGAGACAACGCCATGGCTTGCAAGGGGTGTGGAGGAGCGAGCTTGGTGCCATGCCTGGATTGCAATGGGAACCGCCGGACAATGGGTTGTACGGGGTGTACGGTGAATGGCAAACGGTGCCCGCTGTGTACGTAGCTGGCGATCGGAAAAGGTGGCAACTGGTATAAAAGAGCCCCAAAGAAGTGAAAGGAAAAACCCTATCACATAAACTGTAGTGGGCGATGTCTGAAATCTGTTGCTTGTTTGGTGGCGTGTGGTTTGCGGGTTGGAGCTGCTGGTTGTGCATTAAAGATGGACATTGCAGCTTTGGTGACGCGGGGTATGGCACTGGAGCTTCCACCAGGGATGGCGAGGCCGAGAAGAAATTTGAGAATGACATGGATTCGGTGGTACTTCCCCTGGAGCTCTATAGCGTGAGGGAGCGAGGGAGAGAGGAGTGCCCGATTTGCCTTGGGGAGTTTGGCGACGGGCAAGAGGTGTGTGTGTTGCCCAAGTGCAAGCACTTTTACCATCGCGACTGTATCTCGTTGTGGCTCTTCAAACAACACACTTGCCCGCTTTGCCGCTGTAGCCTCCGACACGAGCCAACCGAACTAAAAAGGCTCTAAAATTGTAAAGACTTGAGTTGATGATCCAGAAGACCTCTTGGAATAGAAGAAATGTGAGTTGCTCTTCATTAAACAGCTATGCTCTTCATGCGTCCTACCGAGAAAGATTGTTATGCAAATGTCACCAAAACAAAACAATACCATCGTTTAGGACTTAGTCGCTGTCCACCACAGTAGGCGAGCGATGGTGATAACAGTGCATCCCTGGAAATCACTCCATCGGTGGCACTGTCCACGGATGCGGTGGCCTCGTCCAGTACCAAAACACAGGCTTGTTTTAGCATAACTCGTCCAAGGCAAAATAATTGTCTCTGTCCCATGCTCCAGTTCTCACCATTTTCAGACAAAGAAAACTTTTACACATACACGCACGAGGTTTCCGAGTCATTTATCCAAGGGTTTTTAAGAAACTTAGAAAGGATGCCTTCGAACAGCGTTGGGTCCTGTGGAATGATGCTGAGCCTGGATCGGAGATCATCTTCGTTATGTCCACGCCGTCGATCTTTCCACCGGCTGGCTCAGAATATAGCCTGGATGAGCGTGGATTTTCCACTGCCAGTCCGGCCCACGACTCCAATCCTCTCGACTCCGGGAAATACACAGTTATTGTCGTGAAACAAGCGGTGAGTTGGAGTTGTAGCGGACCTATGTCACGTAGAAATGTTGTTCAAGTTCCAAAGCCATTATAGAAGTTTTAGAAATTCCTACCTTAAGCTCCACTAGCTCAACGTTTCCTGTGGCAGGCCAGCTTTCCGGAAGCTTAGACTCTTCAATCTCCCATGGTGCCTCGCTGGGAATGCGAGGGGAGGGAGATAACCGTATCGAAGCAAACAGAAACCGGTGAGGAGTTCTAGCCTCATAGAGGCCCACAGCCGAGTAGAGATAGACTCGAGCAGACGTGTTGATCCTGTGCATGAAACGCTCTTCCTGGCAAAAGCCTCGTACTGTCGGAGCTCCTGCGATAGATTCCGCAAAGTGGTGAATCCTTGAAGCCTGGAAAGCTCCCTGCCTGACGGTCAACTCTAATTAGGATATTAATTTAAAAAGAGATTTACCTGTAGCAAGATACAGAAAACAAACACAGGAGCAAAAACGATTAAAACTCCAAACTGCTTGAGACATAACTCCTACAATGTATAAAAGCTGTACTCCTGAGAACGCAAGGCCCCCAAGCCTGTAAGGCACATAAGTCGAGAGCACTTTGGTCTGTAGAAGCCTGAGATTTAAAAACTTCAAACGTAAATAGACGTACCCGGCTGAGAATTCTACCAGTTGGAGTCAAATAAAAAAACCACATCAATTGGCAAATGAGTGGAGTATGTCAAAGAAGAACTTCTGAGATGTCGCGAGGCTGATGACATGATGTAGCACCCTGAGAAGCAAGAACAGCGATGCTCCAAATGGAATTCACCAAATGAATTCCTACTGTTCAGAGCGATGCTCCAAGCGAAAAAGCCTCTGTATCCGATGATCAACCGAATAGGATCAAACAGCCGTCGCTGAGCCATCCACCAGATTTGAAACAGTAGCATACTCACCAACATACGCCCTTGTAAACTGCCGTGCAGTAGTATCAGTAAACTTGCAAACCAAAACTACCTTTCTCGCGGTCTTCTTTTTGTACCAGTTGTTCTGCCTTGGGCTCGTTCGACTTCTGCACTTCTGTTTTTTACTTCATTATTCGGATACCTCCATAGCCTTGTTGTGTGCTCCAACAAGCACTCTTTGGGAAATTTATGTAGAGATTGGCACTCAAGAACAAGAGGTTTAGCTCGCTTGTAAAAGCTGAGAGTAAGGTCCAGATCGCCCATCTTTTACCTACATTTAGCTCGTCAACGTGGACTTTATTTTATATTGTTATCAATAATGAATTAAGAACACATTCTGCGTAAGATTTATGAGTGAGATCACAGAGGCAAACAGAGACATGCTTACCTTGAAGATTTGAGTACCAGTTTCCACGTCCATGGCACCGAAAGTATCATCAAGTAGGCAGGTATCACCATCCTGATACAGTGCACGAGCAAGTTGTATCCTTTGCTTCTGGCCGCCCGGCCATGGCCTCCATTTTCTTTTTCTCTCTTTCTTTCACGGCTCCCGCCTAAATTGATGTCCCTCTCGCCTATTTCTGTCTGATCTCCGAATGGAAGAACTTCCAGATCTCTTTTGAGTTGACACATCTCCAGCACGCGATCGTATTTACTTCTGTCCATAGGCGAGCCAAAACAAACATTATTCTCGATCATTCCACTTTGTACCCAGGCAGTCTGGCCCACGTACGATGTTCTTCCAGTTACCTGGACCTGCAAAAGCAGATGTAAGGAGAATGGTAGAATACAAAAATGCGTACCATAGTTTTGGGATTTCTCCCAGAAGGCACGAGAGCAAGTTCACTTTTCCGCAAACCGCAACTGTCATCCCTTTTTTGACAACCAGATTAACTCTAGCTCAGGACATCTGACGTCTCCTGCTTCCACCAGAATTACTGTGGGATCTTGGTCATTTGTCCTAGAAACAGCATCCGCCTGAAGCTCTGGCTCGTGAAGAAACTTACTCAGCCGATCCAGCGAAACTCTTGTTTGAGACAGAGTTGCAATACAGTCTGCTAGCCTCCTGTAAAACTCTAAAGGTGGCCAGTGCTGAAAGAACTTTCCCAGTGGTCAGATCTTCAGCACCACACAAGTACCAAAAGTGACCACTCCAATGATCATCTGTCCAGAAGAGGAAAGAAACGATTTCTTCAGCCAGCCATACTCCACACCTCTCAAGGCTTCCAGTTTCTGCAGGTAAGTGAGAATCCTCATGCTCTTTAAGCACTCCGTCGTAGGGCGTCCTTGGCCTCCATGATCTTGCCCTGGTACTTGTCTTGCAGGAGCTAAACGGAGTGTTTATAGCCACCGAAGTCAGCGTAGCAACCACAGTAGCAATCGCAGCAGCCTATAGAATAAGTCACCTGAAGCGGGTAAATACGATTTGTGCCTAAACTAATTGGACTCGACAAGATCATCCAAGGCTAGCACAGAACGAGAAGAAAATGTCCCAGCGTCACGAGGCCGGATTGCCTCCTCTCTTGCGCGATGCTACCAACAACAAGCCAGGCAGGAGAACCCCTCGGCAAGACGTGATCCATGAAGAAATGCGACACAGAGAAGCAGCGAAAGGGGGAATCTTGACGGTCTTGAGCTTTCTAGTCCGCCGGGACTTTGTAGACAAGAAGAAACTCACAAGAAAAAATTCAGACTCAATTCCTTCAGATTAAATATCACGTTCGTTCCTGCCTCGTGAAGTCTACAGAGTTTTACATTCTGGCAGATTTTATATCAACACTGTCGCAAACAAAAACTCTCTGAAGTCAGCCACAAAGTAGCTAAGGTGACCATTCTAGTCGTCCAAATTATTGCGAGCTGCGTCATGAACGATTTCTTCAGCCAACCACTCCATTCACAGAACTACAGCAAAAAACAAACACGCCTCTGTCAAAGAAGGCGAGCGGCTCGGAAGCTTGCTTTGAACTTTCGTGAAAAAAACCCGTGGGCTGCCGGGCAAGTCCTCTGGCTCCAAAGTCCTCTTTGCTCTGAGAGCCAGCATAGCAAGCTTAGATTCCCAGCTTTGGTGTTGTCTTCACCCTTGTCGCGTGTAAATATGTGTCCAATATCCTTTGACGACGACCTTGACTGGCGACATTTTCTTCAGAGGCAAGTCACCAAATGGTGGCTTTGCCTTGGACGATCCCAGTGGCACCGCCGGCGCTTGGCGGTGGAGCAACCTCGCAGAAAAACACGACCAAGTCGTGATAATCCGCAAGCTGTGGCAAAGAACAAGAAGTCTTAGAATGAAAATGGGAAAACCTTACGTAGCTCATTTCATTGTGAAATCCAAGCTCGGTTTCAGCGTCGAGGGCATTGTTTGTGTAGACAGGCCCGACAATGTGCTTCCTCCTCGCAGCTCCAGCTCTGCAACCCATGCTCTCATATCCAAACGCTTCCACCACTCGAGCAAATTCCTCCGCATTTGACACGCCGAATCCCCGGAACAAAATTGCGCCAGGGCTCCCAAAGAGTTGACCTTCCAGATCCCAATTACGAAATCATTGCCGGAGTCTCCACTGGAAGCTCCTGCACAAGAGCCCAAACACGGAGCATACAGATCGAGAAGAGAATGCAGGAACATACCAGGCGTAATTACAAGAGGGATGGCGTCCGTGTTCTTGGGATTGAGAAGCTTTGCCATTGCCATCGCTAAGTTGAATATTCAATGTTTTCGGTCACCTTTATACATACCAAGTCTGAGAAACTATCCTTTTTACTGCATGATTCGGAGGATCCAAAAGATATCTTGGAAAACGCTTGAAAAAATACGAGCTCCTCTTCTTCCCCAGCTCGTCGTATTTAGCTATGCGTCCTGGAAAAAGATAAACTTGAAAAAAAACGAGAGTAAGATTTCCAACCAACGTGTAGGGCCAGAACGTAGTCGCTGTCCATCACAGTAGCGATGGTGATAGAACTTTGTGGCGATGGTGGATGGATCATTCCATCGGTAGCACTGTCCACGGACGCGGTGGCCTCGTCTGGGTGCCAAAACACGGCCTTGTTTTAGGATCACTCGTCCAAGGCAAAACAACTGTCCCACGCTCCAGTTCTCACCGTTCTCCCACACATCTCACATGTTTTCCACATTACCTTTTCTTCCTGCACGAGGTGGCATTTATCTAACAACACGGCCTTTTAGGAAATAGAAGAATGACAGAACTTATCTCCCAGATTTCTGGATCTGAGAACTGTCCGAGGGGGTCGAGATTATAGCGGATTCTCGTTAGCTGCTATTGACTCGCCAAAGTGATGTATGATTGCAGCTCTTTGAAGACCTTGAAGTCTAGAAAGTTCTCTGGCAATATTTCTGCCAAACACGATGAAGGATCGTCAAGTAGGTGGATACCAGCATCCTGTTGGCAGGCATATGCAGTCGTGAAGAAAGTTGTTCAAGCGAGCTTTTTGTTTGCGACAGTGTTGATTATGTTGTAAATAACTCCTGTAAACCTCCAGGGCTAAAAGAACTAGAGGTATCTTCGGCACCACACAAGTCCCTAACTTAATCACGACGAGGAACCCAATCACCATCCATAAAAGAAGGCGGGATTGTTTGTCTCGGAAGCCTACTCGAACTTTCCCACTTTTCGTGAGAAAAAGAAAACTCGATGCTCTTTTTTCCTGTGCTACCTGTAGCAAATGTTCGTCCAAAGTCTTCTTTGCTGCTCTGGCATATAGAGTAACATAGAACTGTGATCCCTGTTCGTCCCCAAGCATCCAGGCCAGGCTTGCTTATGCACTCCAGGATTTGTGTTTAACCTTGGAAGGTCATGCACAGATAGCACAAGCTTGGGAAGACCAGCAAACGAGGCAATCCACCACACCCAAATGCAGCTGGTATAGGATACTTGTACGATACTAGCGATGCGAAAAACGATAATGCTAGATTCTTGACAGCTCGTCGAGTGGGATCTTGCAAAGAAACTCACAAGCCAGGAGCATGGCACTCGGATTTCGGCGTCGAATAACCGATTATCAGCTGATCGTCAGGGGTACTAGAGAACATTCTTTACAATTATTTAACCAGCCGTGGTAGATCCGAATATGCGCGTCACGAGCGACGAGAGGAGACCTTGACTGGCGAGAAAGTTTTTTCTTCGGAGGCAAGTCACAAAATGGTATATAATGCCGTTTCCTATGTTTTCGACCTCTTTCTTCTCCCTGACGATTCCCCAGCAACGCATTTTTCTAGCGCCGAAATCAGCGATGATCATCGGTAAGGCGCGAAAGCTTCGCTGCTCTTGGAATTTCTAGGTTTCCTCTGATCGAAATATCGATGTTTCGCTGCAGCGGAGAGCTTTCTCCACCGATTCGACGACGAAATCCGCTTTGGGAGCTGCGTGGGAACGATCGCCATCGCCGCGATCTTCATTCTCTCCTGGCTTGTGAGTTTCTTCTTGTCTACAAAGTCCCGGCCGACTAGCAAGCTCACGACCGCATTCCCGTTCAAGATTTTCCTCTTTTGCTGCTTTTATCTGCTGGTTTTGAGCGCTGCCAGTGCTTGCTTCGCATTTCTTCATCAATCACGGAGCGTGCTGTGTCTTGCGGAGGAATTGGTGCTAGCTGCTGCTTGGCTTGTTGCATCGCTAGCATTGGTAGCATCGCGCAAGAGAGGAGAAGAAAAAATCCCAGCGGCATTGAGGGTGTGGTGGATTGCCTCGTTCTGTGCTGGCCTTCCTGAGTTCGTGCTGTGTGTGGATGATCTTCTTGCGTCCAAGTTTAAGCACAAGTCCTGGAATGCATATTCAAGCTTGGCTTGGATTCCTGCTAGCTTGGTTCTGCTAGTTGCATCGGTGAGGGGAAGAACAGGGATCAAAGTTATGAGCGGCAGTCTTGGCGAGCCTCTTTTAGAAGAAGAGGACACGCAGGTAGCGGACAAGGGCGAAGACAAAGTTACTCCATACACCAGAGCTGGGAATCTAAGCCTGCTATTCATATCATGGGTCAACCCTGTATTGGCTCTCGGGGGGAAGAGGACTTTGGAGCCTGAGGATTTGCCACAGGTAGCACAAGAACACCGAGCATCCACAGCCTACGAGTTTTTCCAGGACAAATGGGAAAGATCAAAGCAGGATTCCGAAAAATCGTCCAGCAGGCCACCATCTGTGACAAGGACTCTTGTGGTATGTTATTGCAAGGAGGCAGTGGCGGTTGGATTCCTGGTGGTAGTGAAGTCGCTCGCGTCATACGTGGGACCATACTTGATCGACGACTTCGTGAGCTACTTGAGCGGGGTTTACCGGTTTCCTCACGAAGGCTTGATCCTGGTGACGGTGTTCCTCGTCACTAAGTTTCTGGAGAACTTCTCTCAAAGGCATTGGTTTCTCAAGATCCAGTTCCTGGCGATAAAGGCCCGCGCGACGCTCACAAGTTGCGTCTACAGGAAAGGCTTGCGGCTTTCTAACTTGTCGCGGCAGAAATACACCAGCGGAGAGATTGTCAACCATATGGCAGTGGATATCCAGAGGGTTCTTGACTTCTCGTGGTATCTGCACGATATCTGGATTTTACCGCTTCAGGTGGCGCTGGCACTTCTTATTCTATACCAGAAAGTCGGGGTTGCTGCGATAGCTACCGTGGTTGCGACGCTGGCTTCGGTGGCTGTCAACACTCCGTTTAGCTCCTTGCAAGACAAGTACCAGGACAAGATCATGGAGGCCAAGGACGCCCGAATGCGAGCAACGACGGAGTGCTTAAAGAGCATGAGGATTCTCAAGGCGCAAGCTTGGGAGAAGGCTTACCTGCAGAAACTGGAAGCCTTGAGAGGTGTGGAGTATGGCTGGCTGAAGAAATCGTTCTTGACGCAGGCAGCTATAATTTTCCTCTTCTGGACAAGTCCCATGATCATTGGAGTGGTCACCTTTGGTACTTGTGTGGTGCTGAAGATACCTCTGACCACTGGGAAAGTTCTTTCAGCGCTGGCCACCTTTAGAGTTTTACAGAAGGCGCTCATAACTCTACCCGACTGTATTTCAGCTCTGTCTCAAACAAGAGTTTCGCTGGATCGGCTGAGTAAGTTTCTTCACGAGCCAGAGCTTCAGGCGGATGCTGTTTCTCGGACAAATGACCAAGATCCTACAGTAATTATGGTGGAAGCAGCAGATTTCAGCTGGGATGAATCTCCTGAGAAGCTCTCGTTGTCTAGAGTTAATCTGGAGGTCAAAACAGGGATGACAGTTGCGGTTTGCGGAAAGGTTGGTTCCGGGAAATCGAGCTTCCTCTCGTGCCTTCTGGGAGAAATCCCAAGGCTTTCTGGCAAGGTGCGCATTCTGTCGTTCTCTGGTTCTTGCCTTACATCTGCTTTTACAGGTGCAAGTAACTGGAAAAACATCGTACGTGGGTCAAACTGCCTGGATACAAAGTGGAAAGGTCGAGGACAATGTCCTTTTTGGCTCTCTTATGGACAGAAGTAAATACGATCGCGTGTTGGAGATGTGTCAACTCAAAAGAGATCTGGAAGTTCTTCCATTCGGAGATCAGACAGAAATAGGCGAGAGGGGTATCAACTTGAGCGGCGGCCAGAAGCAAAGGATACAACTTGCTCGTGCATTGTATCAGGATGCTGATATCTACCTACTTGACGACCCTTTCAGTGCCGTGGACGTAGAAACTGGTACTCAAATATTCAAGGTAAGTGCATGTCTCTGTTTGGCCCTGTGATCTCACTCATAAATCTTATGCAGGAATGTGTTCTTAACGCCATGGCATCAAAGACTGTCATTCTAGTGACGCATCAAGTGGAGTTTTTACCTGTGGCTGACCTCATTTTGGTAAGAAACTTTTTCGTAAGTTCTAAAGACCACTTCGTTGACGAGCTAATTTGATTCAGGTTCTAAACGATGGTCGTATAACGCAGTCAGGAACATACACTCAGCTTTTACAAGCAAAAACTGACTTCAGTGTGCTTGTTGGAGCACACAACAAGGCTATGGAAGTCATGAATCAGGCTGACAAGACCTTAGATAGCGTAGACAAGACCGTGGAAGGTATCCTGGATAATGAAGAAAAGAAAGAAGTGCAGAAGTCGGACGAGCATGAAGCGCAGGCAAAGGCCGCAAAGGCAGAACAACTGGTACAGGAAGAAGAACGTGAGAAAGGCAGTGTTGGTTTGCAAGTTTACTGGAACTACTGCACGGCGGTGTACAAGGGCGGCTTGATTCCATGCATATTGGCGACACAGCTGTTATTTCTACTCTTTCAAATCGCGTCAAACTGGTGGATGGCTCGCGAAACTCCAGCCACGGCTGTAGCTCCACAGTTTGATCCTGTTCGGTTGATAATCGGGTATGGAGGATTTTCGTTTGGAGCATCGCTGTTCGTGCTTCTCAGGGTGCTGCTTCTCAATGTCATCGGCCTTGCGACGGCTCAGAAGTTCTTCTTTGACATGCTACATTGCATTTTTCATTCGCCAATGTCGTTTTTTGATTCTACTCCAACTGGTAGAATTCTCAGCCGGGTACGTATTGTGACTTAAAGTTTCAAGTTTTTCAGCTAGCTTATGCTTTTCCTTCTCAGGCCTCTACAGACCAAAGTGCTCTTGACTTAAATGTGCCTTATAGGCTTGAGGGCGTAGCGTTCTCAGGCCTACAGCTCTTAGGCATTGTTGGAGTTATGTCTCAAGCAGTTTCGCAAGTCTTAATTGTTTTTGCT